AAAGCAAATGCAGAATTATACACTCTACTTTTTTCAACAAATGGTTGATTTGTTAATGGATCATTTGTTGTAAATAGGTCATAGAGTGCATTTGGAGTTGGATTAAGTTGTGCTAATGCAACTTGATCATTAAAACAGCAAAGGCTTTTTGGTTCACCCTTCCATTTCAAAGCAAAGCAATGTTTACAAATTTCATACATTGTTCCAAATCTATGTCTATTCCCTTCAATGTCCTCTTCCTCTTCTACCCCCACCCTATCTTCACTATAAATGTTTATATTGCTGTACAATGTCTTAATCTATAAAATTGTTCAATGTTCTTTTCTTTCTTCTCCCAGTATCTTTTATTCGCCCTTTCTCTATCTTGCTCCTTCTTTTTTTCTATTTGTTCTAGAGATCTATTATCTCTATACTTTTTTTGTTTTTTTCTATTGTCTTCTTTTTTTTAAATAGCAGTTTTTTTTAATCTTGTATTATATACAGGACCTGTTATATTAGAAGATTCTGTTAAAGTTTCAATTTCTTCTTTTTTTATTATTTCTGCTACTTCTTCTTCTTCTATTACTTCATCTTCTATTACTTTATCTTCTATTATTTCATCTTCTATTACTTCATCTTCTATTACTTCATCTTCTATTACTTCATCTTCTATTACTTCATTATCTTTTATTATTTCTTCTTTTTCTATTATTTTTTTTCTTTTTCTTTGATTATGTTTTCTTCTTCTTCGATTATGTTTTCTTCTTCTTCTTTTTCAATTATGCTTTCTTCTTCTTCTTCTTGTTCTTGTTCTATTATTTTTTGTGTTCTAGATCTTGTTCTTGAAAATATAGAAGATTCTGCAATATCTTTTATAATTTCTTCTTCAACAATTTCAAAAGATTCTGTAATAGAAGATTCTGCAATAGATTGTTCTTTTTGTTCTGCAATTAATCTTCTTTTTTCTTGTCTCATAGTATCTAATTTGTTTTTTTTAGCTTTTGCACTTTCTCCAAAAACAGCAGGATATCGTCTTTTAAGTTCATCTTCTATTTCCTTGGATGCAATTATTTTTGGTGGCATTTTTGCTTTCTTTTAAAAAAAAAAATAAAATAAAATATTTAGTTTTTGTTTAAATAAACTTTAAATAATTTGTTTAAATAAAGTTTTAATAACATATTAATAAAATTTTTATCCAATTTAATCTTACTTGTAAATTGTTAAATAATAGATTATTAATCTGTAAAATAAAATTTATTAGTATAAAATATATAAAAATTTTGTTAAAATTAATAAAATTTGTTAAAATTAAGCAAAATTATATAAAATTATATAAAATTTGGTTAAAATTTGGTTAAAAATTTGGTTAAAAATTTGGTTAAAAATTTGTAAAAATTGCTAACAAAGTTAAAAAGTTTTTTTTAAAAAAAAAATTTTCGTAGAACAAAATTTGTAATAAAATCTTAATAAAATCTTAATTGGATATATTAGTAATATATTTAATTAAATAATTAACCTATATATAGTGTTATTTATATTACAAATGCAATTTATGCAT